ATAGGAATTTGATTCTTAAAAGGTCCCATTCGTTTATTTTATCATGTCCTGGTTGTAGGATGAAAAAGGTTTCTGCAGGATTTTTTTTTAAATCAACCCTAGCCATTTTCTCCCATAAAGAATATAACCTAGAAAACCCTATAGAGAAGTTCTGTTCTCAAATGGGATCACACTGAGTCAAACAGACTCCTTCGCACCTAAAAATGACAAATCCATCTAAAAACCCATGCCTTTTGAGGATACTGTTTATTAACATTAGTTCCAACTACAAGTCTATTTCTCATATCAGGTAAATCTCCAGTCTTGTTTTGTTTTTAAGAAAGCCAAGGAAAAAAAATATAAATGATCCCTGAAGGAATATTTCCAATTTACTTCTTGAGAAATAGACATTTTTCAAAGATGCCCAGCAACTAGCGGTTATTTAGGATATTTATGACTACTTAATACTACTTTTCCTTGGAAGTTTTGTGAATATTAGGAACTGCTGACCTTTTATTTCCAAAGACGAGTTAAAATACAGTTGTGGGGGACATAAACAATTTTAAGTGAAAATTTTAAATATACTTTTGAAAAGTTGCTTAAATACAAGATTTTTGTGTTACCAATGTAAACACACCTGTTATGGAGTTTATTCAAGTTCTGAGAATAGATTAATATCTTGAGAACAAAATTTAAAACATAAAATAAAGAAAGACAAGACTTCACAATTTTTTAAAGCTGTGGTTAACTCCTTAAAGATGCAGAGAGCTTATAGGAGTTGCTTGAACACATAGACTCAAATGAAGATTGTCAATAGGCAGATTTGGGAAGCAGTGAGATGAGAAAACAAAATATTTGAAGAAAAAAAGAAAAAGATCATGTGAACAATTATCACTCATTTGGTGACTAGAAATGATATCTTCATTTCCAGGGATACTCCAAATGTTCCAAATCTTCCACAAAAGGGATTATTATCAAAACTAATAAAGAGCTACTGTCACTTTAAAAAAAAAGAGGCAGAGAGCAAAACAACCAAATGTCTACGAATTGATTCTGACTCTTGATGACCCAAAATGTGTCAGAGTGGGACAGTACACTTTAGGGTTTGCAATGCTAATTATTTTGGAAGCAGAATGCCATGATATTCTTCCCAGTTACTTGTGGGTGGACTTGAACTACTAACCTTTCAATTAGCAGCTGCATGTGTTAAGTATTTGCCCCGCGCAGCAAGGTGCAAAGTGGATTTTATTTTCCCATCAGGTGCTATCCTCCCTTCCTTCTCTCTCAAGTTAGACTGAAGATTTGTGATGACAGGTATGTGGGCTGGTTTTGGAGAAACTGATGAGGGGCGGGCCACCAGGTCATGTAGACCGTCACTGTGGCACAGCTCGATGGTGATTGTGGGTGATGCAGGCTGGTGGTGTAAAGACTGGTGAGCAGCTGGAAGTTATATCAAGTTTTGTGTTCTGCTAATGAATCTTAGTGACGATAATTGGTTATTGTTGTTGTTGTTAGGTGCTGTGGAGTCAAGCATGATTCGTAGAGACCCTATGAACAAAAGCTCTAAACTCTGTTCTGTCCTGAGCCATCCTCACACTTCCTGACACTCAAGAGCCTATTGCAGCAGTCACTGTGTCAATCCACCTGGTTGAGGGTCTCCATCTCCTTCACTGACCCTCCACCCTTCCCAGAATCATGTCCTTCTCCAAGGAATAGCTCCTCCTAGCAACATGCCCAAAGTATGAGAGCATCATTCTTTCCTCCAAAGAGCACTCCATAACTATTACTTACATTTAATTAGTACTTTCTGGAGGCTATGGCTTTGCCTGCATTAACGCCTTTATCCTTTCCTTCCCATAACTCTAGGAATATTATCACAATACTATCTTCTCATAACCCTATAACTGCTGTCATCACCTTCACTAAGACACAAGAGTAGGTGTTAATAATCACTTTTCAAAATTACTGCAAGTAATAAAACAATGAACCTGGAACTTGAATTCAGATCTCTTTTGTTTTAATTATTTATTTTTGCGTGTGTACCACCAAATTGGATCTGACTGGTACAGGAGGAAATTGTCCCTCCTTCTCCAGCAGAGCATCTGGTGGATTCGAACCACTCACCTCTGGGATTACAGTGTAGCATCTTGCCACTAGGCCACCAGAGCTTGCCAGATTTATCTCTTTAAGTCATTCTCTAAACACTTCAAATTATGTCTTTCTTAGAACAATTTTCTTAGATTCTTCCACATTTTTCTCTCTTCCCTATCCCCAACTCTACTCTCAACCTCCACGTCCTTCCCAGCTCCACCCATCGACCTCCACTGGCCTCAGTCATTCCTCCCTGCCCAAGGTCTTACAGTTCATGCGTATTTGTTGGCCCAGTTCAGTCAGCTCCATCTCCGTGGGCATGTACCCCATTGTCCTCATCAGATTCCCCAAATCTTTGCAAGAGATGAACCCATCTCGGTCTTTGTCAAACTCAACAAATGCTTCCCGGAGCTCTGGAAGTTAAGAGAGAAGAACTTGGGGAAAGGTGAGGGTAAAAAAAAATCAATGCGAAAGAGTATCATCCTTGAAACTACCAACGAGGGATCAACTAGAGATGCCTCAAAACAGAATACAGTCCAACCCATGACAGCAATAACTCAACAGGACTATCTTTTTTTCTGGATCTTGAAAGTTTTCCACATTTGACAGGGTACAATCTTTCCACTTTTCTATTACTCTCTGTTAGGAATCCCATGTCATAAGCACCCACCAACTTTTCCTTCTCCGGAAAGTTTCCCCCTTGAACAGATTCCAGCTTTTGCCAGTTTTGTTTTTAAATTTTATTATTTGTGTGTGTGTCCTGTCAAATCGGATCTGACTGGTACAGGAGGAGATTGCCCCTTCTTCTCCAGCAGAGCATCTGTTGGATTCAAACTGTGTATGTCTGGGATTACAGTACAGCTTTTTGCCACTAGGCCACCAGAGCTCCCTCAGTTTTATTTTTAAATTCTCCCACGAGAGGGAGAAAAGAGTAAAAAATTAAAAATAGGCAAGATGGGTGAAGGGAAAGGCAATATACAACAGTGGTCTTCTCTCGGAAGAACCTGTTTTTTCTCCTAACAGTCATTCCTATTCTCCAGCATCACAGCTCAAAGACGTCAATTCTCTTTCTATCCTCCCTATTCATTGCCCAGCTTTCTGACGCATAGCAAGTAATTGCAAAGGCCATAGCCTGAATCAGGCACACCTTAGTCTTCAGACGGTCATCGTTACTCATCAGTACTTTGGAGAGGTCCCTAACAGTAGATTTTCCCAATGCAACTCATATTTAAGGAGTTGCTTAATTACAATAATCAGTGGTAATTAATATTATAATTACAATGTCTGAAACTTCGTCTGACATAATTTGGACATGTGGCAAGGTGGGACCAGTCCTTGGAAAGGGACGTCATGCTTGGGAGGGTGGAGGGACAGTGCAAGAGAGGAAGACCCTTGATGAGATGGATTGAGTCAGTGACTAGGGTAATGAGGTAGGTGTGTCAGAGACAATAAGTTTGACGCAGGATAGAACAGGGTTTAGAGGGGTTGTACATAGAGTGGCTATGAGTCACAGGTAACTCGATGGCACATAACAACAACATGCACAACTGAATGAAAAACCAGTATGATTTGTAAACTTTTGCTCAACTTTTCAAGGTTTTTTTAAAAAAAGAAGTGAATAATAACACCAGGGAGGAATGTTCTCATTAACACAATCAACTATACATGACCAAAAAAGCAGAATTTTTATAAAAAATTAAGTCCAGAAGTCAAGAAAGGGCAGGGAAGCTGGATGAACAGATACGGAACCTGGAGCTAGGTGGGACCAGCACTGTCCGGTTGCAGGAATTGCCTCCAAGGCCATGAAACAGAAGGTGCATGAATTGTTACGTGGAAAACTAGTATGTTCTGCATACAGTCTCCCAAAACACAGTAAAAAGTGAAACCAAAAATTTTAAAAGAGAATAAATAACGCACACACAAAAAAACATTTTAGCAAAATGGTCGTTCTCACAGCCACTGAAGGTCAGAGCCCAGAAGTCCTTTGAATTCTAGAATGGTGCTGTGGAGAATGTCAAGACCACCAAGAGCAAACCCACCAGCTTTTGATCCACCCTAAAACTCACGTGGCCCTCTGGGGCATTTGGGGAGAGAGCAACCTCTGAGTACTCAGGCCAGGGGTGTGTGTTTGGGGCGGGAGGAGAACTTGTACTTTCATGAGAAAGAGTGCCACAAAATCTCAAGTGGAGTGGGAAGTGAGAGGGAGGCAAAATTTTGAAGGGATTTGCACTGAAATGTTTGAAAGGAAAGAGGGCCGGGTCAATGAATGTATGGCGACATGGGAGTGTCAGGAGTGGAGGGCGTTACCTTCAATCTCATCTTGCCCCAGTGGTCTTTCCTGCAAAGAAATTTAAGGGGAAGAGAACATGGACATATGGTCAGGAATCCAACACTCAGTTTCTCAAAACAGATCTCTCATTCTCCACCTCTTATTTTCTTTCTTTTATTGCTTTTCTCTTGTTCTTCCTTACATCCCTTGACTCCCATTCCACGATCTGTGGATTCTCACCCTTTTCCTCAGCCCTTCTCTTCTTCTCGAATCCTGATTTCTCTCCTGTCTTTCTCAAGCACCTCTGTAGTCTCAGTGGTTGGGAGCTCAGCTGGTAAACCATTCTGTGTAGTAGATCCAAATATCCTCATCTCACCAACAAGGAAACAGGGGCACAGAGAGGTTAAGGAAGCTCCCCAAAGTCACACAGCTCATAAGCGACAGATTCCTGCCTCCCTTCAAGGCACCCAAACCCACTGCTGTCAAATAACTTCTGACTCGAGGTGACACTGCACTGAGTTTCTGAGGCTTAATGGGAGGTCACTACTGTCCATCTTTCTCCTGAGAAGTGGCTGGTGGAGTCAAACCATTCAACTTTCATGCTCCTTCTCCAAGGCACATGGGCATTCCATTACATCCTCCAGTCAAGCACAGGTCTTGGACTTGTGTTCAGCGATCCTGACTCCCAGGTCTGAATTCTCTCCACAGAACCTCATAGGTGAAGTCCTGCTAGCCTAGGGGTTTAAGTGCTCAGCTTCTATTCAAAACAAAAGGTCCACAGTTTGAACCCACCTGTCACTCTATGGAAGAGAGATGAAGCAATCTGCTTCCACAAAGATTTGCACCCTTGGACACGCTATGGAGCAGTTCTGCTCTGTCCTCAATGTGAGTCAAAGGCGACTCAATGGGAGTGGGGTATACCCCTTGGGGTATTCCACCTCATGGGGTCACCAGGAATCAGAACTGATGAAATGACAACTAACAACATACCCCATTGAATTTTCCCCCATGCCTCTGCTCTTTCTTCCACGAATCCCTTACCTGTAGCCAATATTCAGTGGAATTCAATTCAGTGGATCAATGCCAGCAAGACCCATGCCTACAGTCCCAACTAACTCCTAGACATGATAAAGAAGTCAGCCACTTGGCAGAGTTTTCCTCAATCTCTGACCTGTCTCATCTTCATATTTCTCTTTATCCTTTGAGCCCTTCCCCACCCTCCTCATTCTCGCTATTTCCTTCCTTCAAAATCTTCTCCCTCTCCTTTCTTCCCTGTGCTTTTAAAACTTAACAAAGAAGAGCATGCCCATTGGAATCCTACAGATCTATCTGATTGGCTCACTTACTAGTTTGGTAACCTTAAAGTAAGACTTAAGGAGACTTTGTGACTCGGAGCCTCCGTTTCCTCACCTGTCAGATGTGAATGGATACATCACTGAGCTCACGACTTCTGACGACTGAATGACACCAAGAATGCAGGGCCCTTCCAAACAGGGCAGAGCACATAGCCATGGCTGAGTACGTGGGAGCTATTAGTTAACACTAATATATAATAATGCAGGCATTGGTAGATCAGAGGCAGAATTCTTGCCTCCCTTATGGAAGACACAAGGTCAGTTCCCAGCCAGTATGCCGACCATGTGCTTCCAACACTTGCCGGTCAGTGGAAGCGTGTGTGCTGCTGTGATGCTGAACGGTCCAGCAGAGCTTCCAGACTAAGACAGATAAGGAACAAAGACTTGATCACCGGCTTCCAGAAGACGAGCCAGTGAAGACCTAGGGGTCACAACAAGCTTGATCTGCAATTGATCATTGTCACCAGACTGGCCAATATTTTATTCTATTATGCATGAGGTCACTATGAGTTGGCGTCAACACAACAGTCATGAACAACAAAAATGGAATCATGCTGGCTCTCTCTCTCTCTCTCTTATCTCTATCTAATCTCTATCTCTATCTCTATCATCTCTATCTCTATACCCATAGAAAGAAGGATGATTAAGAAAGACAGATGAGTGACATCCTCTCAACTCAACTTCCTTCTTTCCCCCCACCCCCCATCTTTCAGCTTCTCATTTCACCCTCACGGATTTCCATAGCCCACATCCCCCCATCTTACTCTGTGGGATCCCTCTGCCTTCTCTCCGTGTGCCCTTTCCATCTGCTCCCCTTGTTCCATCATCATCCATCATGGTGTCCTCTGTCCTTCTCCTCCTTCTCCCCACCCCCACCCTGTCTCAGCTCGGCTTGCCTTGCTCCCCACTGTTCCCCATCATCCCCCACCTCACCCGCTGTTTCTCAGCGATGCCTTTTCTCAAGAAGATGCAGGCGGGGCCCATGGGAAACTGCATGGAGAGGGCAGGATAAAGATCACCGGGCATCAATCTCAAGACCGTTCCCCCTCCTTCCCGTACCCCCTTGGTGTCTCAGCCACCTTATCGGCTCTGCCACACCTTCTGCCAACTTGACTCGCCTCTGTGGGTCTCACCCCCAGTCTGGATCTCAGAGCTGTGACAGCTGGGGTGGAAATCTCTATGTGGTTTAGGGAGGGGTCAGAGCTATTTCCGACTCCCCATCTGGCTTGAATGAGATGGTCTCTGGCTCTGATCTTTTATCCCCAAAATAGATTAGGAAGATCATCTCCAAAATGAGGATTAGGGGAGAGGGCAAAAATACCTCATCTGACATTCCAATAAACATTCTGATTACCTGCTCTGAGCCAGGACTCTACAAAAATGAGGAAGATTTGGACTCTGTCTTCAAAAGAGCTTTCAGCATAGGAGGGTGTGTGCAAAATAAAGTCTCTAGTTGGCCCAAATCTGCAGCCAAGGGACTCTTTAAAGTGTTAATAAGCAAGGATACCACTTAAAAGTCTAAGGTGTGTCCAATGTCAAGCCATAGTATTTTCAATTGCTTCATATGCATGTGAAAGTTTGACAGTGAGTAAGGAAGACCAAATAAATGATGCCTTTGAACTGTGGCTGTGGTGTTGGTGAAGCGTATTGGACATACCATGGACTCCAAAGAACAAACAGAGCTTTCTTGGAAGAAACACATCCAGAGTGCTTTTTAGAAGCAATAATGGAGAGACTTTATCTCCTATGCTTTGGGCCTGGTGTCAGGAGGTGACAGTTCCTGGAGAGGGATATCATGCTAAGAAAGAGTGTTAGGGAAAGAGAGAAAGAGCCTCAAAAAAGATTGACACAATGACTTCAACAATGGTTTGACGCACAGTAGATAACAGGAGGCTGGTGCGGGTGCAGACCAGGCTTTGACATGTTGGCACAGGGTCTCTGTAAGTCAGACAATTCAACAGCTTCTAACAACAACAACAGTTGGCTCAAAGGGTTTGTGTTCAGCTATAACCAAAATATCAGCAATTCAGACTCACAGAGTGACACTCTAACACTATACCACTCCATAACACTGCCAAGTAACACTGCTACCCTGTAAGACTGTAATTGTTGTTGTTGTTGTTATGTCAGTCGAGTCGCTTGCGACTCATAGTGACCCTATGTACAACAGCCCTAAACCCTGCTCTATCCTGTGCCAATCTCACTGCCTCTGACACACCCATCCCTACTATTCCAGTCACTGAATCAATCCATCTCATAGAGGGTCTTCCCTCCTGCGCTGTCCAAGCATGATGTCCCTCTCCAAGGACCTCTCCCTCCTTACAACATGTCCAAAGTATGTCAGACAAAGCCCCAGAATCCTTGTCTCCAAGGAGCAGCCTGGTTTAACCCTCTCCAGGATGAATCTGTTTGTTTTATTGGAAGTCAATGGTACATTCAATACTCTTCTCCAGCACCACAGCTCAAAGGCATCAATTCTCCTTCTATCCTCCCTAGTTATTGTCCAACTCTCTGATGCATAACAAGTGATTGCAACGACCATGGCCTGTATCAGATGCACCTTAGTCTCCCGAGTGACACCATTGCTCTTCAGTACCCTGGAGAGGTCCCTAACAGCAGACTTTCCCATCGCAATACATTTTTTATTAGTAATACTACCAAAATTACTAGTAAATCTGCCTAGTAGTTACTAGACAGTAATACTACCTAGTAATACCACCCAGTTACCCTCAGCAACACTGCTACTCTGTAACGTTGTTGTTGTTGTTAAGTGCCATGGAGTCATAGATGACTCATAGTCACCCTATGAACAAAAGACTTAACACTTGTATAACTTTCTTCCCTTCTCCAGGTTCATAGGTTTTCCAGAGGCAAGCTATTTCAGAAGTGGTTGCCACTCCTGCTTCCAAGCTTGTTTTAATTGGGGGGCTCCTCCAAGCACTGTCCACTATGGATAAACAATCTCACATTTGATACATCAGTGTCACAGTATACAGCTTCACAGTAACCACGAGTTACCTCTGTACAGCAAGTGGACAGACCAGAGCTATATGACCTAGAAGAATGTTTGACCAAAAACAATTAAAAACAGGCCTGAGGGCCCCGGATTAGAGTCACCCACCTTTGGCGTGGTAGCATCACTTTCTGTCCACTAGGCCAACTGATCTGTCTCTATGCTGTTGTAGTTGTTAAGGGCCATTGAGTCGTAGGCAACTCATAGCGACCCTATGAAGGAAAGACCTGGACACTTGTATAACTTTCTTCCTTTCTCCAGGATCAAAGAGTTTCCAAAGGCAAGCTATTTCAGAAGTGGATGCCACTCCTGCTTCCACGCTTGTTTTAATGGGGACCTCCACCAAACACTGTCCTCTATGAGTAACCATTATTGCATCTGACACATGGTACCTTGTAATACTACCTAGTAACATTGCACTGCTATCCTTTTACATTGTACCACTTGGTCATGCTACCCAGTAACACTAGTACACCTATATTCACCTCAGTGTTATTTTACAACTGCAAGAAAACAGATACCACCCAAATGTCCATCAACAAGTGAATGGATTGAGAAAGTGTGGTACATTCACACGATGGAATACTATACAGCACTAAGGAACCACAGTTTCATAAAATACCACAGGAGAGTCCAGAAAGCATAACGCTGAATGAAATAACTCAGTCTTATAAGGACAAATACTGTGTAAGACCATTAATGCAAAAATAGAAGGATAACTGAGAAATATGTGTATAAATGTTCAAAAGGGAAAGAGCAAGAGGAGAAGGGGTGAAAAAAGAGGCAGGGTGGAAATTATGAAGATAGGAGAAGTTAGTGGGTGGTTGGGATAAAGAAACAGGAAAGAGTCAATTGGGACTTGAAAAGCTGGAGTAATAACAGGTATCAAACACAATGTAAACGAATAATAATTCAGCATGGGAATTTTTACCTGCTCCATTTCTGTTCTGAGCTGGTTTACTCCTCCTTAGACAACCAGGTACCCCTCCCCCTGCTCCTGGAAGGTTACCATATTGAGGCTGAATTTAGTGTGGACTCGAATCTCACAGCACACGACAGCCCAGAACTCCCAGACTCAGGCACTTCTCCAGCCTTGGCCTCCCGAGCAGCTGGGACGACAGTCATGTGCCGCCTACCCCGACGTAGAGGAATGATTGTGCAGAACACAGGTGAATGAACAAGACACAGTGCCAATGAAAGATTGTCTAAAACACAACGTCCATGCATGAAACACATTGTAGAGGAGCAAATGCATGTGAACCAATAAAAATACATATTAAAGAACAAAACAAAAAACAACAAAACACACACATCAAAAACCAGGGAGCCCTGGTGACCTAGTGGCAAGAAGCTGTGCTGCAATCCCAAGACAGATGGCGCAGTGAAGCTGGAGGATGGCATGTCCCTGTCCCGGGCAGGAGTGAGGACTACAGAGTAGAAGTGTCCTGCAGAGTATTTATGGGATGAGCAGAGGCCCGGGTGAAGGAGCAGAGAAGCAAACTGTTAGCACCCCGAAAGATTTCAGAGAAGGAGCCTGACTGTGAACTCAGGGCTTCTCTTAGCAGGCTCATAGAGCATGCTGCTGAGAGAGAGAGAGACAGCTTGTATTGCCTTGAGAACCACTCAGCTGAATGCACATACAAGAAATACTCAACTTTCTTGGGAAACCTTGTGAGCTTCTTACAAATGTGATGGATGAAATAAATTGCAATGTGAAAGTTCTAGGCCTTCCCAGTCCAACTATCCCCTTACCTCAGCTCCCGGTAAAACTACTTAATATACAAACTACTTAATATACTAGATAATATACCCCACTGCCATTCAGAGACACTGCCTGTATGTTAGGGTAAAATTATGTTCCACAGAGCTTTCAGTAAGGAACATCTTTGTTCCTATCAGCTTTCCAGGCCTGTCTTTTGAGACTTTATGAACATGGCTTCTGCCTTCCCCATGACCATGCAAATTTTTGCAATCTATGTGGCCTTTGATCATGGTGATCATTCACTTGCTTAAAAAAAAAAACACAAAACTAGAGGGAAGATGACAGAAAATAAAAGGGAAAAAATGGATATGGGTGGGATAAGGGACATCTGACTCAAGTTAAGGTTGGCTCCAACCTCAAGTGACTATTTCCATCTGTGGGAGGGAAAAAACCCAAAGAAATAAGTCCCTACAAGAAGCATGCACTCACGTGAAACCTGGATAGACCGTGGGGGGAGGAGAGCTTCCATTATATCTTCTGTCCTTCCATGGAGCAGGTGGTGGATTTGAACTGTGGGCTTTTGGGACGGCAGTGCAGCTGCTCACCATTCAGCCCTCAGAGCACTCCTAAGTCCTTACAAGATCATGAATGGGACTTTCCCTCTTCCTGACAGAGGAGTGGTCCTATTCAATGTTCCTTTTCATAGGAAGATAATTGAGTGATTTAAAAAAATTAATTGTACTAACCACAACAGGATAAAGGTAAATAATCCAGTTGAAAAATGGGCACAGGATATGATCAGACACTTCACCAAAGAAGACATTCAGATGGCAAACAAGCACATGAAGAGATGTTCAAATTCCCTAGCTCTAAGAGAGATGCAAATCAAAACACTTATATGAGTTATCATCTCACCCCAGTAAGAATAGCAAAAAAGTAACAGATCAGCAAGCAACAAATGCTGGCGAGGTTGTGGAGAAACTGGAACCCTTATTCATTGTTGACGGGAGTGTAAAACGGTGCAACCACTGCTATCCAAGCAGATATATGCACACCTATGTTTATCGTGGTTTTATTCACAACAGCAAGAAGTTGAAAACAACCTAAGTGACCATCAACAAACAAAAGGATAGAGAAGCTGTGGTATATTCACACAATGGAATACTATGCTGCACTGTAAAACAAGGAACCCGTGCAGTATTATTCAAAATGGGTGAGCCTGGAGGACATTATGCTGAGTGAAATATCTCAGTTACAAAAGGACAAATACTGCATAGTGCCACTTGCTGTAGAACGGGACTGACATCAGGGTTGGGGTAAGACTGAGAAAAACTGGTCAAATTATATATACTGCATTGAAACATATGAGGGAGAGAACAGTTTAAAAGCGATATATGATAGAGTATTATAGT